GTTGGGAAAAAAAGGAAAATGGAAAACTTACCATTGATTGTTTCCAGTTCATTGTTTCTAAGGATCAAGGTTGTGAGTTTGGCGTGGGCACTGAGGCCCAGCACTGGTGCTCTCTGGAGGTTATTACAGGCTAAATTCAGATGCTCCAGTTCAGTAAGAGGCTTGATTGAGACAGAAAAAGTATGAATAAATCCACTCTGTCCTAACATTTAATATACCACAAATCTAGGGGGCCCCTGAACCATGCAACATGGCACTGCCCACTAATTGTGACATCATGCATGAGAATTTGTATTGGGTGTGCAATGGTATCCCTTCACTGACGTAGACAGAAAAGGAAGAAATAAATTCACACTATTCTTATTTTGTCCAATTTAGCCCTTTTTAAAGACTACCCATCTACCACCCCTTGTGTGATTGTTTATTATTTTGGCTAATTTGATTCTACATTCAGTTACCGCGAAGCGTGTAGAACTCCATTTATATTAACATATCATTTTTTTCACACACAACCACCGATTTTCCCTCAAAATCACGAAGAAAATTGACAAAGAATTGTGAAAAAAAAATTCTGTCTAGTACTGGTCATAAAAAAAAAAAAAGCAAGCAAGAACAAAAGCAACCTACCTTCAAAAATTCAGCACAATCTTGGATCTTGTTGTGGCTCAAGTCAAGCCACTTCAGGACATTTAGCAGACTCTAAAACAATTTAGAAAATTGTTACATGCAGATTCAAATTTCTTTTACTCTATTTCACCTATTTCATAAGTTTAAAACAGGAGATTCTTACTAGCGACTCGTCAAGACGGGAAATGGAATTGTAACTGAAATTAAGGTTATGAAGTTCTAACCAGGGTAAAGCTGAGCTAAGATCGCCTCCACACAGAGAGAGAAGCTCCTATTAAACACACACACACACACACACACAATTACATTCTGTATGCAAACATGGTTAAATTTATAGTCACTGTGCCAATGCTTGTTGGTGCAAAAATTACCTCTAGAGAGCCGACACCTTTTGAGCAAGTGAAGACTTCCAGCTGAGAATACACTCCTCTAAGACCCTCCAGACAATGAGGAGGAATACGCTTAAGCTAAATAAGATAATCAAACAAAAAGCACCATTTAGGACAATATGGCAGAATAAAGCAACAAACATAATTGAATGAATTTGGTTAGTTTGTTCTGAAATACCTCTAAGTGTTTGAGGGACTTGAAAGGGAAGATTTTCACAACATACTGTAGTTTCACACCAGGTGGATTAACAAGCTGTTTTACAGACATATATGATCAGATCATTGCAACAACAGCTCAGTGTATTGGATCAGTGAAATAAGGATTAGTCAAGACACTTAGCTGAAGTTAGAAATCTGAATTAAGGAAGGTATACAAAAATGTAGTACTACTAATTAATATGGAATACATTGTTCTTCCGTCTATCAAACTCAAGCTTTACTCCTAATAAGTTCATAGTGTCATAGACACATCGAAGCATCATCAGAACCTTCAGTACCTTGAGTGATACTGTCTTCTGCAGCATGTCGAAAAGGAACTGGACTTCCAGCAGGGAGGCAGTGTCTGCTGGGTGGGACGGCAGGGCCAGAAAACCATGCTGATGTGTTCGTGAGAGAAGGTGCCGCTCAAAGAGTTGTGTCAGGTGCTGTAAACATCCCACTTGCAGAGTGAGAGTACTGGAACCATCCAGTACGGAGTCACCTATACAGAGACCAACAAGAACATAATGCAATGCTTCAGAATGCTAAGCATCCTCAAACAAATGCAAAAGCACTCTCAGATTTGATTGACTCTATCTGTCAACATGCAAACATTATCTTGCATAGCAGTGTCCAAATTTGCAGTTGTAAATATGGATTGCATTGCTTTGTCTCGATGTCTTCAACATAAAGAGAATAGCAATCAATTCTCAACTTGAATCCTACTAACTCCAAACCTTGCAAAAATCTAGATGAGTGACTGTGGACAACGTCTTTGTTACATTTTTTGCTGTGTGCTTTTTTTTTTTTTTTGCCTGGAACTGAGCCTGGTGCAACTGCTGAAATTAACAATGACAAAATTTAAATACTGATTCTATACCATTATTTCGCAGTAATGTGGCAAGTCTGTGTACAACCGTTGACTGACCGGCCTGAGTGGATGACATCCTAAAAAGGGTGAAACATAATATATCAACAGAAATATTCCAAATTACTGCAAGAAAAAGAACAATTATTCTAATCCGAATATACATAAAACATATATTTATCATTGCTACAAAGACAGGACATTAATTTGGGTAATAAAACAGGCTTGTAAAATTACATGTAGCAGGAAAAAAGGGTGGGATTTCACAACCAAACATTCCTCACGCTGTTCCTCAACTGTAAACACGTGCAAACCGAGCGTCATCTCTTCCTATTTGTGATATGTAAGCTAACTCTGAAGAAAGCAATATTAATTATTTTTTACCACTATAAAAGATATGATCACAAAAAAATCAGGTATCTAGACAAGCTCCAGATATGCCCATTTTCAATCACAATGTACCTACACTGTTATTTTAATCTTGTTAACCAAAAACAAATCAACACTGGTAACTCTTCCTGACGCTCCAACAGTTGTGTTGGTCAATATCTGTTCTTACGAAATGCGCTAAAACATACCTTATGCTTCAAGAAATACGTGACGCTTAGCCCCAAATAACGTTATACCCGGTTTTGTACCGGGGCATTTGGATTTATGGCATTAGCTCAGTTTAATTCCCTTTTACATTTGTTGACATCCTGATAGCCGTCATATGACCTTGTTTCTTAAACGTACGGCGGCCCGAAGACGCCAAACAAGCGAATATTTAACTAAGCGCGCCCTCCTGCGTCTTTCACGCGCACTAAAAACAAACAGAAATAACTTGTATTTTGAAGGTGAGCCGTTTAATGGCCTGGGAATGTTAAATAAACTATCCCTTAAGACTTAAACTGTGATTATTTGTTTATTAATAAAAAATAAAAAATATCATTTTTTCTTTGTTAGTTTGCCCTCACTGCTGCATATTACAGTCAAAACTCTTATCTCATTGACTATCTTGACATGTCCATTTTTACAATAGCTTAAAGTGCAACACAACAAAATCTACATTACAAACCTGATTGTGTAACTGCTGTTTTTATGGTAGACATGTGCAAATATGTTTGCTCTCTCTTCAATTACACTGACTGCTTTTCTTGGAAATCAAACACTACACCTCAGGAAACAATATTCCAAAGAACACACTTTAGTAAGTATTTTAACATATACATTTTAATATGCAGTCACACATATTAAGAAATACATAGCCTATATTTGAATATTATCTTCATTAAGATAATATTGATTAGATACATTGTATAAGTCACAAACAAAAAATTCTGTGTTAGCCACATACAGAATCTCACTCTTTGTGAAACCGGTTTAAACCAGGCCAAACATTATCCCTTCTATTATATTTGACTTTTTTATATTAAAGGATTTTTTTTTCTGAATTTTGCAGACTCTGACTACAAGAATAAATGTTTTAACAAAACTGTGCAACCTGCTTAATTCTCTAATAATAATAAAAATAAATAATAAAAAAAAATCACTGATTCTACATGCCTTGTATCTTTATCTTAGTAATGTAAAAAGTTTCTCTAACAAATTTCCACAGTGGAATATGCTGTATAGAGGTTCCTCGGGACATTAGTGTAATTTATCTCACTTGTTTACTCAGAAATGTCCTTGATGGAGAACTGCACTTAACCAACTGGAGATACTGTTGCTTATAGCGCTCAAAATCCTACAGAAACCCAGACGCTGTACAAACTCTGGGTACACAGACATGGGTTATGAGCCTGTGGGTCTACTGCTGGTACTTTTTAAATAAAAATGACACATGAGGTTCTGCATAAACACTCCTGCTTCATCATGACACCCACATGACCTGGCATTTCAAAAGTCCCCTTTCTCCATCAAAATCTCCAAGGCGAAAAGGAAGCCTGCCAACCACACATACATAAAATGCCATAAAATCAGAGGGCACCCACAAAGAAAAATAATCCTCATTTATATCTCTTCGACAACCTCTGCAGCTATAGGTCTCACATGGAGGAGCTATTTCTGTACCCTTAAATAAACAACGATTAGTCTCAGAGGGGAACAGAGTGTGGGCTTTGCTCTGGACGGGTTAATGGTTGTTTGGTTGGTAAGCATGATACCTCGACTCCTGGCCCCTGTAATCAATAGGCAACTGAGAGATTACAACAACATTCAGCTTGTAGGCTAGTCCTAAGTACATGAAGGCACAGTACTGACATTTAATGTTAATATACGCAGAGAGACTGTAGCCATGACTACAATGACACGGAATAGTTTGCTTATTTGATTATTCACTATATCAGTGTTGCTGAGCCATACCACAGGCCAGACCGAACAGACAGTGAGGGACACTTCACTGCCCACTGCCTCCCTCCATGCCAGTTGTTTTAGGACAGACTTAAAGATTATGAATTAATCATTATCTTTAAAATTTAATCATTTGCATCATACATAATGCATTCAGTAAACATCACCAGTATTGCACATATTAGGCTATGTTACTAGATAATAGGCTACATGCAATTTGTGGAGCGGGTGCTTTGTCGTGGGAGGACAGGCTCCCCCTGTTAAAAAAATAAATAACTTTAATAACTTAAATTCCACTTGTATTTCAAGAATTTAATTTAATTAAGCCATTTCATTTATCAAGACCCTGCTGGTTTAGCTTAACTCAGGAATTCTCTCAAAGTCTTTTGGAGCCAAGTAGCATGACTCCAGCTGCTATATAAGCACTTTTATTAAATGACTGTTAAAATAGCACATTAAAACGTCACGATTAAAATATTTATTCTAAAATATCTGTTCTGAAATTGAGGCAGGACCCAGGCCTAACAGAAACACAAACTCAAGGCGCTGGCTCTGTAGCCCTTTTTAAGGATTTGTTTGACAAAGCCGCAGCCCGCCTGTCATCTCCTATGATGTCAGCGGCATATGAACACTGTTAGGAGCCCTCAGCAGTCCCCAGTTAGCCTTCACCTGTCCACGCACACTTCTTACCTTTCCTTCTTACCTGCAGAACTTAGTGCTCCGATTCGCAGAGTTTCTACATCGTGGACACGATGCTGTTCTACGGGAGTTGCAGCTTGCTGTTGGTACTGGTGACTTTTCACGGCGCCGCTCGCACCGAAATGGTGTTCCGTTGTCCGAGCTGCACTGCGGAGCGCCAGGCGGCTTGCCCGATGCTCACGGAGACGTGCGCGGAGATTGTTCGCGAGCCTGGCTGCGGCTGCTGTCCAGTGTGTGCCCGGCAAGAGGGCGAGCTGTGCGGCGTTTACACACCGAGATGCTCCAGTGGTCTGCGGTGTTATCCCAAGCCGGATTCGGAGTTGCCCCTGGAGCAGCTGGTTCAAGGGCTCGGGAGATGTGGACATAAAGTGGACACTGAGCCCACTGGAAGCGCAGAGCCTCGGGAAGTCAGCGGTAAGTGATTTAAAGGGTTTATAAGTGATTTAAGTCATGATTTGTTGCAGTAACCTAGGCTATTATATAAAGTAACAGAGCTATAAATATGGGATTTGCATAATTTGCTTCTTCCTGTTAAAATAATGATAAAACATCAGATGATTTATTGGAACTTTAATGGCTTATAAAGGTGTTTGGTATTTGATTATTTTATTTCACATATTATTATGTAGCCTAATAGACACAGAAGGCATTTCTTTAGATTTATTTTAATAACACGCCGTATGAAAAAGTACAAATAGCCTATTTAATAAAACACCATTTGTATGCCTTGACAAAATTAATGGGAAAAAAAAAAATCTTTTCACAAAAGTTTTCTATTGCATGTTTTGCCGATACTGCAGTACAGTGGCAACTTATCAGCAGTCATCGATAAAAGACTTGATTAATTGGTTGGAGCTCGATATCCGTCGTTCGTGTTGTAACCTACTCTACATATTCTAGCCTAAATAATATTTTAACAGCCTGTTAATAGGCACCTGTTGTAGCAGTCCGAAGTCTATGTTTATAAATGTTTTATCAATCTGAAAGTGAACATGAGGTGAAAAAAGGAAAAATAAATAAATAAATAAATAAAAAGAAAGCGTTTTCTGGAGAACTAGGGAGTAAATGGAATGCAACAGTGATAGCAAGACGGATTTTGCGCTTTAACCCTTTCCTGCAGTAAATTTATCAGTGTGTGTGTGTGTGTGTGCGTGAGATAGGATGGGTCTGAACAAGTAGCACTGGAGGACGGGTCTCGACCAAGAACAAACAGTGGCGCCTTAAGGAAATTTTAATTGGGTAGCCAGATGGGTCCAGTAAAAAGGTTACGGTAATAGCCTACGCCAAAAGTAATTTTAAAAAAGTGCGTTGTCTTAATAATTGATCACTTAGGCTACTGCATATTCAGTTTTTATGCAATTACATAAGTAAGTAAATGTTTATACGATTATGAATCCCATGTTTGAATCCCATTAATGTTTAGGTCTATGAATCGATTTGGTTAGGAGTGCGTAGCCTATACTTTAGATCTTATAGACATATGACTAACTAACTAAGTAGGGGAGAAAAAAACTGGTAAATGTAATTATTGTAGCCCCACCTAGTGTTGGATAGGTCTAGGCTATACTATGTAGCCTATAGGCTACCTGAATAGTTTTGGGATCAGCAGGTCTCTGTGATTTATGGTCTCTCAAACACTTTTAGGGAAGAAAATAATAATAATAATAATAATAATAATAATAATTATTATTATTATTACAAAAGAGGGCTCCAGCACTTAGCACTTTTGCTGCTTGGTCATCTAATAAAAGTACCTACAGAGTAGGTACAGTTCAGTTGAGTAGTCTGTTTTTGGCTCCATGGTTTTTAAAAATTTAGCCCTTTTGATCATGAATATTGATGATGAAGCCAGACAGAGTGCTTCCAAGTGCTTCTAAACAAAAAATAAGTTTTTAGACTACACTGGCCAAGTTCCTAAATATATTTATTATTAGGTATTAGTGAGAATGGATTGAATTGCAAAGTTTGGAATCATTTGCAAAATAATTTGGTTGTATTGGATTGCAAAACATCTGGTGAATGTGTGTTTAGATGCTACTATAAAAGGGCTCATCCACAGGTCTGCCAAAGTCAAGAGGATGTGATGGAAGAAGTACAGTGTCTTTAATGGATTGTACTGTTGTTTAATATGACAATTGTTTGTCTGATTTATCTTTCCAAAAAAACCTTTTAGCTAAAAAGTTATGAGTTTTGAAAAATACATGTAATATTGGACCTACAGTTCAGTCAGTGCCATTATTTAAGTCTGTAATATCCTTCACAGCCTTTTTTCATCCATGTAAAATTCAATACGCCCTCTACCATGACTAAAGTCGATTGGTGGTGTAGTAGCTTTATAATGTTATAATGTTTAAATGTATAATTTTAGCATTATAAGTATAAAGTATTGTATGTATGATTTTTTCTTCTTTCACCTGTTTGACACTAAAACCATGGATTTAATCATCTTGAACAAAACAAAAACATCATAAACAGTATTGTTTTTTTGTGTCAAAATATGTGATAGTTTCTCATTACCTCAATCACAATATAAAAAATATAACATTTTAGATTAAATTATGGAGGAAAATGAGAGTAAATAAAATCAAATAGACCAAAGGTCCAACTGTACCCCCTTTTTTTGAGTGAGATTGGAAAGAGAGCACTGTTGTAGCAATATACTATATATACTATAATATCTGCCTACAGTCTTTATATTTATGCACATACATTATTAGTAGACTTTCAAAACAGGCATTATTTATATCTGTAGTACAAAGTGTTCATGAACTGCAGGGTTCATGAATTGTGCAAATACTGCATCTTCACGTCCTGTGCTGGTGTTGTCAAAATAACTTTAGTGGCATCAACATGCTGGATTGTACAGCAGCACTGTCTTGGTAAACGTGACCAAAAGGCCTCCATAAAAACAAACAACTTTGGTCTGCCTGTGGGCAAATATTCATGCCCAGTGTGAATAGGTCCGTAGGAATCCATTGTTTTTGTTTAAAATCTTGAACATTCACAGCGAATATTTGATCTTGGTTCTTTGAAGCTCTACACAAGTGTTCTCCAAATCCTGTTGTGGCAGAGGGCATGTTTTCTGGTGAAAGATAGGAAAACATACACTTCCTGTGAATGACGAATGGAGCTGTTTAACACCAGACAGCCTCACTTAACATGGTTGTGACACAACTGAAATGCTATTGAAGTACATTTTGACCTGTTTGACAATTTTTGATTAGGTGGCATTTGAAATCTTAACAGTCTGAAGGGTGATTGGGAGCATGCAGTTGGTCTGTCATTGCTCTTTTTGTGTTTTTGGACTTCAGGAGTCCTTATCCTACTTGTTTAGTTTAGAAGGTTCTCTGTAAGCTAACTACTCCATCTTTTCTTCTTTTACTAAATATTTCTTGATTTTCACAAAGACAAACAAACAAAAAATAATGAATAAAAATAAATAATTACTGAATAGCTACAGTTTAGAAAATATTAAATATGAAAAGAGGTATGTCTGGAAAAAAAACACTATGAATATTCAATTGCACATAATACATATTCAAATTGAACTATTTCTAATTGTTTAAGGATTTATGAAAGATTATGAAGTACCATGTGAATTCTAATCTCCTAAAGTACAGGTATACGACCATTTTAATTAAATTTAGCAGTATTTAGGAACTGAGAGAGGTTCTTCAGTTTAGTGATTCTTTATTAGATGGCAGAGAAATTAAAGAGAAAATATAACAACTTTAAAAACAATATTTTGAAATAATTGATACTGGGGTGTTCGTCTCATTTTCATATGGGAAGGGGCAAAGGCAGTATCGAACACATATACATACTTGAAAATTATATCATTAGATGAGAAGTCCATGCAAAGTTTGTTGTTGTTGATAATGATTTTCTTTTTAAACAAACCATAAATTTACAAGGCAAGAAAACTAAAATACTATAAATACTAAACAAGATCATCCTTGATCTTGATCATATACAACCGAAACCCTGTGATAGGCTCCAGCATCCCCATGACCCTGCGCATTAGAAAATGGATGGATGGATACGTGGATGGTTGGATACCACAAAATTAATCAGAATTACTCAACTCATGGAAGATTTATATGGAGATTCCAGACACAATATCCATCTTATTTTTAACTTGTGGGCACAAGTCATAAACACACTGTTGTGTACAAACAGGTTTACAGTTTATAATTTTTTCTACCCTTTATTATTCATTCTAGATATTTACATATAGTGGCATATTAATCAGAAGTCTCACACATTCAAAGAAAATAAATTACTTCCACATTGCAAAATAAGTTGAAGATGGCCATTGATATTGCTATTTATTTGGGAAAAAAAATTACTTTTCAACATATGCCCTTGCTCTCAAGCTATCTGCAGTTTGGTGGTCTGGAGTTTGCTGGTCTGTCAAACTGAATACACTTATAAAGCCACCCAAATTAAACCTATAATGATGAGGATAAATGAAGAGTCTACAAAATGGAGGAACGATGGAAATATATCAGAGAGGAATTTATTGTAAATGCTATATAGAATTTAACATGAGACAGTAACATCTACAACAACAAAATAATACATATAAATTAATAAAATAGCTGTATTAGTAATACTTGCATGCTTTGAATAAGATTACATAAAATTATCAGTTTAAGCAAGGCATTGTTCATTTACAATCATACATTATTTACTGATGAATAAATAGATACAACTGTAAATCTTATAATAGTACTGGCCCTTTTTTAGAGTTTCACATTTATTTTATTATTTTCACTAAAGTTTTTTATTAAAGAGAGTTAATTAAAAAGAAATAAAAAGAACAATTCACCCATTCATTTACAATATAACAAAAAATATTCCGTTTTATTATTGTATATTATTATATATTATTTATATAATAATATACTATAAATATATTATTTATATTGTTTAATATTTTCAGGTTTTGACAGAGCAGGGTGAAGCAGAAAATGGTGACAGGCAAACAGACAGATAACAGTTCAGATAAGAACAATACGGCTTGACTGGCAAGGCAAAAATGGCACAAGACAGCAGTCAAGGGGAGAATTAATAGGGGAGGAAATGAGGAACAGGTGAGTCCTAACAGTACAACTTCTGGGAGAAGGAACTCATCAACTAGTGACCAGTTCAGGATGGCTCTACTGATGACATTGAATGCTGCACCCCACCCAGTCTCCAAGACAGTAGGAGTAAGGGGACTGAGACAAACAAATTTGATGCAGGAGACCTGACATACCAGGTGAATCAAGTGAAGGGATTGCAGCTGCACAACCACCAGACTGAGAACCTTAACAATAAGATGGCCCAAAGAACTGCAATGCTAGCTTTTCGATTGGCACCCATAAGGGTGGTTAGTTTAGGCATATATGAACATGGCAATCATGCTTGAA